AAATGTAAATAAGTATAAAATAGTAGAAAATTTAAATAATACAAAATACCAATTTATGTAAATAGTAATACATATTGTTAAGGAATTTGAAAGTTTTTTACATTAATATTAATAGATTTTTTTCAGACTATCTAATAATTCATTAAGTTATGTTTCAAAAAAATGTTATAAAAGTTAAAAAAAGTCAAACTATGTTAAAAAATATCTTTGTTTATACCAAGAAAAATCAATATTATCAAAAAATATAGAAAAAAACTTACTACAATTAAAGATAATAAAAATTCTTTATAATAATATAATAATCCGAAAATTTTCAATGTTATATAAATATATATATTATTTTGATTTTAATTTTTATAATCTAAAACTAAAGATTTTTTTTTTATTATTAAATAAATTTGTCATATTAAAGGTCGTTAGAATGTCTAAATATCTGTATATTTATTTTATTAAGAACAAAAAATAGATAGCCATAAAGAAAATAATTTTCTATCATTCGTCGATACTTCAGTTATAAAATTTTTACACAATATTTCTCCATTTTTAATAGTGGAGATATTTAAAATGATCAAGATTACTGCCGTATCATATATATATATATATATATATATATATATATGATTGTGAATATATTATAGAAGAACGAGGTTTATTGTAGCATAATACATATATATGCTTATGTTTTTTTAAAATTTCATGTCATGTGTTTAAATGTGTAATTGAGAATTAATTGACATATACAGAAATTGTTCATTGAGTATATATATTACGAAAATCATTAATTTCGATCTTTATTTTATCTTTTTGTTCATATAAAAATAGCATTAAATAATATTTCATATGAGGTGATACATGATATTATATAATATTAATTTGTGCGTCAATGTCATCAATAGATATATTTTAATTGAATCATAAATTTTACAACTGTGATATAATGATTTTCACAATCATAAAGAAAAAAGAGTTAAGAAAGAATAATCAATATGAAGAATTAATTTAATTTCTTTCTTTTTTTTCCTTTTTTATTTTATTTATTTATTGTGTTTGTTTGTATAAATACATAACATGTTTGTATAAATACAAAACATGTCTCTTACTTCAAAATAAATTTCAAATTTTGTTTCAATGTAGAAAAAATATTAAAATTAGATATTATTTCACAATTAAACAAAGTTTTAAAGAGACAAGAAAAACACATCTTATTTTCGGAAATTTCTGTCAATAATGCATCAATGCATTTATTTTTTATCGTTATATATATTGCACGTTTTCTCGTTACCCTCTCCTCCTCCTCTTACACACACAAAATTTAATTTTATATGATATCTATTAACAACAACAAACAAAATGTAAACAGGTATATATATTTAATCGATCAGATAAAACTTTAGGGGACCCTTTCTTTATTTAATGAACAATACAACATATTTATGATAATAATATTCGGTTTCTTATGTGAGAAATCACGAATGTATGAAAATGGATAAATGTAAAATCACAGTTGCGTACAGATTGATCGTAGCTACCCAACATTTAAAACATTATAAATTTATAAACATATTTCGCCTTAAAAGATAAAGAAAAAAGAAGAAACAAAAGGAAAACAAAAAAAAAAAAAGAAAACGTTTCTAATGCACGAACGATTTATGTAAGATATGTCTTTTACATTGGGTATGAGATGTGTAAAAAGATTTCATTGATGATTGCGTGTGAAAGGTGACATAATCTTTTCGACTTTCCATTTTTTTTCTTTCCAATTCATATTAAAAATTTTAATATTGTAAGATTTTAGAGCATTTTTACACTAAAAACTAAATTCTTCAAATCATTTGAAGTAAAGAGTAGCTTTATAAATTAAAAATTGAGTACTTGCTTCTCAAAAATCAGATTTGAAAATAAAGAAGAATAAAATAATTTTATTCACGTTGTATGAATTGTAGTTAATAAACTCTTGCATAAATGAAGTTCTAAAAGAAAAAAAAAGACAAAAATAATTTACAGTCTATTTATAACAGTTTAATTAACTCTATGCTGCAGTGAAATTAATCTTCGATAGATTATTTTCAAGTTAATAATTATGAATACACCACATTACTAGAAGAATGAAAAAAATTTTTTATGGGAAAGATACAATTGTACTATTGTACTTCCTATGCGTTGCATTATTGTAGAATATTTTCAATTTAATTTTCTTACAATTTTACTAATTACTATTCGGTACTGCAAGTTTCATCAATAAATATACATTATGGTTATAGAACCATGTAAAAAATGATAAAGTATGCGTCTTGGAACGTTTAATCAAACTTTCTGAACGTGTACTTCTAATTGTAAAGTTCTTTAATTGTAACAAATAAACGTAAATTTTCAAGTTGGGGCTTGTATGAAAGATTTTAAGAACAAGAGAATAATGTATGTGCTTTAAAATCTCTTAGAAATAAATGTAATTTAATGATTATTATTTAGCATGTTATATTTTAAAAGGCTCTAACTTGATCTAGAAATTTATGTAATTTTCTAGATATGTAACATTTATTCACATTTATATTATTTTATAATTACAATTAGTAGTACGTGTCAGTATAATTTGAAAACAGAAATATTTAAGGAACAGTCTAGTTTTTTTATGCTTCTTCTTAAAAGTGTAAAAAAAAAAATGAAAAAAAAAAAAACAATTCTTTAAATCGATTAAAGATCATTGTTTCATTCTTGCTTTGATTTAGCGGATTAAGACGAATATTATTATAATCACCAATTAGATTGGATTGTTTTACCTCACATGTCTCTCTATGTATGTATGACTACGGTCGAATGTATTTGTTAATGGTCGTCTAAGAACTACAGGCATGAAAGTTTAATTGAGAAATGATTTCTTGCTCTTTCCCGATCATGTAAGCATATAAATTAATTAATATGTATATGCGTTTGATACACTAAAGAGAAAACATAAACAAGGTGTTGATAATGATGAGTGAACATATATTAACAATTATGAGATGAGCGGTAATTAATTATGAGAGGGGAAAAAAGGAAAAAATAATATTTTATGGATGGGATACAATTT